TATATTAATTTTTATTCTGTCACTAACCTCATTAAATGTGGGCATATATAGAAAAACATATTTAGTATTCATTGAAACTATCAAACAGTCTTACAAGAAGGACCAAAAATTCTTACTAGAAGGGCTCCTACAATAGGGACAAAGGGGAGCATCATGTAGCAAAAAATTTGGTTGTGATTTGCTTAGTTGTTATGCTCGCGATACTTTTATTTTTTGCTGTATTTCTAGCATAGTTATGTCTTAAATTTATCATACATTTTGCAGATACATGATGAAGAGTTCAAGTTTAAAGAAATGGGCAGTGGGATTTGCACTTGGAAATGAAGGAGAGGCAACGTTGGAGAGCTGAGGAGGACGCATTATTACGTGCTTATGTCAAACAGTATGGTCCTAGGGAATGGAATCTTGTGTCCCAGCGCATGAACACGCCCCTTAACAGGGATGCCAAATCCTGCTTAGAAAGGTGGAAGAACTATCTCAAGCCTGGCATCAAGAAGGGATCTCTCACTGAAGAAGAACAACGACTTGTCATCCGACTCCAAGCAAAGCACGGCAACAAATGGAAGAAAATTGCTGCAGAAGTCCCAGGTCGCACTGCTAAGAGGTTAGGTAAGTGGTGGGAAGTATTTAAAGAGAAGCAGCAGAGGGAAAAGAAAGAAATCAATAAAACAGTTGACCCAATTGACGACACTAAATACGATCATATACTTGAGACTTTTGCTGAGAAGCTGGTGAAAGAACGCCCTTCTCCATCCTACCTTATGGCTGCTTCAAATGGAGCTTTTATTCACACTGATGCATCAGCTCCTGCGTCAGCTATGCTTCCTCCATGGCTTTCAAACCCAAATAACTCTACAACTATTAGGCCACCTTCCCCTTCTGTGACGCTAAGTCTCTCTTCCTCAGCTGTAGCTGCACCACCTCCTTTTCAATGGCTACAACCTGAGAGAGCGCCAGAGAATGCTTCTCTTGTTATGGGGAATGTAACACCTCACGGAACTAATCCGGCTTTTGGTGATAACCTGCTACTACCTGAGCTAATTGAGTGCTGTAAAGAGTTGGAAGAGGGGCATAGGGCATTGTCATCCCATCGGAAAGAAGCAGCATGGAGGTTAAGGCGGGTGGAGTTGCAGTTGGAGTCAGAGAAGGCATGTCGGAGGCGGGAGAAGATGGAAGAGATTGAGGTGAAGATTAAAGCTCTCCGGGAAGAAGAGAAGGCTGCTTTGGATAGAATTGAGGCTGAGTACCGGGAGCAGCTAGCTGGACTGAGAAGAGATGCAGAAACCAAGGAGCAGAAGTTGGCTGAGCAATGGGCTGCAAAGCACTCAAAGCTTAATAAGTTTCTGGAGCAGATGGGGTGCAGAACCAGGCTTGCTGAGCAAAATGGAAGATGAAGACTCCATCCTCTTGGAACATGAAATTTAAACTGTGTTTGCTTCTATGTTGTTTCGATTTTGTGTCTATTCTCGCAGAAATTGTACTACCGTTTGTCCTACTTATTTTACACGACTATGAGGTTATTGGTTAATACGACTATGAGGGTATTGGTTGATGTAGGAGGCATGGTTTTGCATCCGTCGTCGCGAATACAAACTTGGTCGTGACAACAAATTTGTATGAATAACTTGTCCTCCGGAAGAGTGTGATGGCATGTTGACTTATCAGTTTCTGCTTTGGTGACTGATGTCCAGACTTGATAGAAAAATGTTTTGTTGGAGCTAAGAAGATGGTTCCTAGAGATTTGGATAATTGGGAGAAGCGAGGACGCTTTCTGACGCGTTGAAACCTCAAATAACTTGCATGTTGGAGTATAATGCTAATAGAGTATCATGCTCGCTTGTCGATTGGTTCAAGTGGATTGATATATTTGTTTGCGTTAAGCCTAGAACCATCCACTGCCATGCTTGTAAGTATTGAACAAAACATGGCTGGGAGAATTTCATGTGAGGACCCTGATGACAATTATATTTCACCCAGACTGTGCGATCGTGAGATTGAACGAGCGTTAAAAGTGGCTTTACCAGCGTTGATCGGTGAGGCGGCTGACCGGATGGACTCTAGTTTCAAAGGATGAGCTCCATCGAATAAGAGAGCGAAGATCACATTCTCTATTTAAATGAGAGAGTGGTTGAGGAAAAATCAAATTATAATTAAAAGTAATTTTATGTTTGTATTAATGCCTTTGGGCGTATCCCAAACACTTCCTGAGCCTCGACGCGATTATGATAGCCCGTCCGTCGTTGAAGGGCAGGTTCGTGGCGTTCTCTGTTCATTTTGTGTGCTCCAAAACCAATCTGCCCTGTGCGAACGAGTCTGTTATTTACGGGTCTTGAGTTTCTTTCTGGGACAAGACAAAACCCATTACCTCCTGAAGACATTTAGCACAGCATAGAAGCCTCCGGTTTCTTTTTATTGCTGGGGATTATGTATTACCTTGTGACAGAAAAAGCATTACTCTGGATGTACAGAAGATTAGTTATAATGTGTCTCCAATGCAGGGGCTTTGCAAGCCAGAAAATTACTTTCGAGATCTCTTGAGAATTTTGTTAATCGAAAAGAAGAAAGTAATACAGAGAGTCAAGATATTAAGGGCTGGGGGGAATATGTTGGGAAACTTGAACAGGGAAGGGAGGAAGGAGAAAGGAGACGAGAAAGGTAAGGTATCATCGTGGGGTGGTGGGATTTAATTGTTTATACAAGCAAATAATGCAAGTAGCAGCAGAAGGCCGGGGAGGAAATTCTCTTCTGTTCTTCTGTTTTCAAAACTTGATAGAATTATAAGCAATTGAGGATTAGTTTTTCCTATTTCTTGTTACTCCCTTAAACTTCTAAAATAAGTAATATTACTAATGGGATGGGATGTTACATTGTTACATCTTTTATTAAGCTTTTTTTTTAATAGAAACTACGGTTCAGAGCTTCAAAAGAAGCATAAACAGTACATCACATTAAAATAACTTCCCTAATCAATCTCCTTTTCTCAATAAAGAGATGAAGGTTGATCCAGAATATCCATAATGTAGAAGCTTTCAGCTAAATAATTAGCAAAAATTTAAGTTTTATATGACTGACATTAACATGTCAATCTCTAGGGGTTTTTAATTGTGTCCCGTCTCAACATCCTGTCCCTTTCTTGTCTCAGTCATTTTGGGACCAGATAGCCTCACCCTGAAAGTTTTCTCATCTCAAGTCCCATCCTAATATATTATCTTTTTTTAATTATTATAAATTTATTTTATTTGTCATTGTAATAGTATTTTGATAATGATATTTATCAATTGTTATTTTTTTTCATTTGTTCATGAGTTATTTTGTATGCTTACGTGATATTATTTGTTGTGAGCATTTTAAGTTTGTTTATTTTTTGTTTCTCAATATTACAAAAAAAACCATTTTTCTTTACCATTATTTCCTTATTTTTATCTATTTTCTTTGTATAGTTTTTGCTATAAATTCTTATACTTCATGTATAGTTAGTTTTTAAATTAAAAAAGTTAAAAAAAAAGAATAAGATGGGGATGGGACATGGGACAGAAAAACTGTCTCATCCTGATTATCAGGACAAGATTGAGATGGGTTTGTCCTGATTCCATCCTGTTCCATCAACTCGCTATTAATGTCCATATAAAAATAACCTAACATTAGCAACACACCAATTCTTATCTTTGGTAATTTATTTTAAAGAGTAAAAGAAATAACCTCTTTTTTTGTACTGAAGGAAAAATTGTGAATTATCTTTTGAATAATAAAAGACTAATTGAAGTATTAAAAAATACATTTGTCATGGACAAAAACCAAAAGAACATTCAATTAAAATATATAATTGTCATATATAAGTAGAGATATATTTTCTCTCTTTTTTCGCCATCAAGAGATATATCTTCTTTGGCCAAAACAAAAAGGTAGTAATATGTTTTTTATCCCAACTCAAATAATTTCTAGAAGTATTCTTATACATTAAATTAATTTTTTTTGGTCCAGTTAGAATTTAAAACTGAAATAACTCGGTATTTTAAAGTTTTAGTAATTTATTTCAAATAAATAAAAAATTGATTTTTTTTACCAGGATAAAAAATTGATTGTCATAAATAAAGATAATAACTGTACATATTAACTTTTTTTTTTTGTGGCCCTATCAACCTGGGCAACCAAACCATGTTTTTCTTTGGATTATAAAATGAGCCGCCACATTTCTCTCCTAACTCCTTTTTATTTTTGTACCCAAAAACTCTTTTTACTCCTCTTTTCTCTTCCCATATTTCTAATGAATAGCTTGACCATGTGAAATAAGAATAAAAATTAAGAAATTGAATAGAGAAGAGAAAAAAATTAGAAAAGAATAGAAAAGGAGAGGAGAAAGTTGAAAGAGAATAAATCTGTAACATCAATTGTATAATGCTATCCTAATAATGTTTTACTACCTCCGGTCCTAATTATAAGAGCCAGTTGACTAATTTGAAGAGATTAAGAAAGTAAATTGAGCTAGTTATTTGTCCTAAATAGGTGTTGTCTTTCCTAAAATATCCTTACTAATCAAGTGTATTGACTAAAACTATAATTATTAGAAGGACTATCTTGAAAAAAATTGAGTAAATATGATAGACAAAATGGATTGGGGTCTTTTATTTAAGACCAAAATAAAAATCAAATAGGGTCTTATATTAAGGACCGGAGGTAATATAACCTAAACCAAAAATAAATAAAATAATAATAAAAGATCTGAAATGAGGAGTAGGAGAGTGGGATAACTGCTTATTAAGTCACTAACTATAAAAATAAATAAATAATTAAAATAAACTAAATAATGAAAATAAAAATAAAAATAGCAGAAAATTCAAAATTCAAAATATTTAAATATTTGCAGCACTTTAATTTTTTAAATGATAAAAGATCAGTATTATAACTTTCTCCCATAAAACACAGACTCTTTTTTTTTTTGGCCGGACACAAAACACAGGCCTATGGTGTAGCGTATATGCTCTACTTATGTGCAAAATAGATTATTCCAGGAGCAGAGGGGGCTGAAAGCCTAGAAGAGCGACGAAGAAGCACTCCGTGAAGCAATTGATTTGTGGATGCATGAAAGTCAAAGAAGTTTTCAGATAATTGCGATACGAAAATCTAATTAGGGTTCAGAATCACTGGCGGTGTTAGTGATTTCTTGTCGGAATTGAATCTTTTATCGCCTACTGAGGAAGCAAACCTGGGGAGTGAAAGCTCTGGGTTTGGTCGCTGTTTGTGTTGCGTGGATTGGCTGTTGCGGTTCTGCCGCCCCATCATGGTGGATAACATGGAAATCGACTCACCTTCGGAGTCCCAGCCTCTCAAGCCTCGAGATCGAATCATTCGGGTAACACCCATTTGTGCTCGTCTCCTTGATGGTCTCTAGCAGTAGACTTATTTGTTTTCTTTTAAACCCTTCGTAGTTTGAATTATCGTTCGTGAATGTAGCCCATAATTTTATGATTGGTTTTATATATTATTATTTGAAGTAATTTGTTAATATCGATTCTTTATGGTTTGCATATCAATGTCTTTTATTGCCACCTACAGAGGCTTCTTCAATTTGGAGTTCCCGAGGATCAACTGGATCAGCCTCTCCTCGTTGATTTTATGAAGGATAAAAAGTCATTGATACCTGAACTAGTATCTGTTATATTACCTCCGGACGAGGAAGTGGCTGAAGCGCTGCAAGATTCTAAGTTTGGCTCTAAAAAGTCCTCATTGGGTGTAACCATGAAGAAAAGGTTCCATGAAAGCATGGACTGGTTACAGTGGTTGATGTTTGAGGGTGACCCCGCTGCAGCTCTGAGGAACCTTTCCAAGCTGTCCGTTGGGCAACGTGGTGTTTGCGGGGCTGTTTGGGGACATAATGACATAGCATACAGGTGCAGAACATGTGAACACGATCCAACATGCGCAATCTGTGTACCTTGTTTTGAGAATGGGAATCACGAAGGCCATGATTACTTTGTGATATACACAGGCGGCGGTTGTTGTGATTGTGGAGATGTGACAGCATGGAAGCGTGAGGGATTCTGCTCAAAGCATAAGGGTGCGGAGCAGATACAACCACTTCCAGAGGAGTTTGCGAACTCTGTGGAACCTGTGCTTAATTCTCTTTTCAGCTGTTGGAAAGACAAGCTAACATTTGCAGAAACTGTCTGTCAGGAAAACTCTAGATCAAGCAACGCTGTTGTTGAAAGAAAGAAGGCAGCTAATGAGCTAACATTTGCAATGGTTGATACGCTTTTAGAATTTTGCAAGCATAGTGAGAGTTTGCTTGGTTTTGTTGCTAGGATGTTATTCTCTTCAGCAGGCTTACTTGCCATTCTGTTGAGAGCTGAGAGGTTTTTAACTGATGTTGTTGTAAGAAAACTTCACGAGTTACTCCTGAATTGCTGGGGGAACCTGTTTTCAAGTATGAGTTTGCTAAAGTTTTCCTCACTTACTATCCGACTGTTATAAGTGAGGCTATAAAAGAGTGCAGCGACTTCCCTCTGAAGAGGTATCCATTACTATCTACGTTCTCTGTGCAGATACTTACAGTGCCCACACTTACGCCTCGTCTAGTGAAGGAAATGAACCTACTTACAATGCTTCTGGGATGTTTGGAAGACATTTTCTTGTCTTGTGCTGGAGAAGATGGCCGATTACAGGTGATGAGCTAGTGGTTGTTATTAATGGCCGAGTCTGTTATTTTTAAATTGAATTGCCCGGTGCATGTTGTGATCTCAAAGTTGGTGAATCTTATGACTAAGATTTGTTGCTGTGGTACAATCATGTTTCCAAGTCCTTTTTTTTTTTCCCAGTGAAATTATGTTTACTTAAAGAGACAGATTTTCATTGCAGGTTGCAAGGTGGGGAAATTTGTATGAGACAACTATACGGGTTGTTGAAGATATTCGATTTGTTATGAGCCATGTGGTGGTTCCCAAATATGTCACCTATGATCAACAAGATATCTCGAGAACTTGGATGAGACTCCTGTCCTTTGTACAAGGGATGAACCCTCAAAAAAGAGAACTGGTCAACATATAGAAGAAGAAAATGAGAATGTCCATTTACCTTTTGTTTTAGGCCACTCTATTGCTATTCATTCTCTTTTGGTGGATGGGGCTTTTTCAGATGCTAGTAAGGGAGAGTTGGACAATGAATTATTGGAGCTCAAATAAACAGGAATCTGATGATGGAGATAATTTACGACACTCAAAAGTGGGGCGGCTTTCCCAGGATAGCTCTGCATGTGGTATGACTGGTCGGAATAATGCCTTTGCTTGTTCTTCTAAGGCTTCTGAGATAAAATCTAATGCCTCTTCTCATCTGCAACTTCCCCGTTCTGTCACATGGTTGATATGTGAGTGTTTAGGGGCCACTGAGAATTGGTTGAAATTGAAAATAAGACTTGGTTACACATATGTCGTCTCCAAACAGTGGTAGCATCTATGACAGCAATCTTTCAGCATTAAAGAGAACAATATCCAATATTAGAAAGGGTAAGATTTTTCGTAGGCTTGCAAGCTCAGGTGAAGATCATGGTAAGCAATGCGCTGATTACTTAGCGTCTGACCTGGAAAACAGTGAACATGCAATGAAGGATAGTAAACTGAAAATGAATGGTGAGTCCGAGTCAGATAATATTGATATTTCATCTGGTTTCCATGATAGCGCAATGGAAACAGATGTTCCTGCAGAGTTGGGTGGCCTTCGTTTTTTGTCTTTGTCTGATTGGCCACAAATTTTCTACGATGTTAGTTCACAAGATATTTCTGTGCACATTCCGTTACATCGGCTACTTTCCATGCTGCTACAAAGGTCACTGAGAAGATATTTTGGTGAATCTACAATTCCAGATGTGTCTGATGCTTGTTCTACTCATTCATCTTCAACAATCTACACTGACTTCTTTGGACATGCTTTACGGAGCTGTCATCCCTACGGGTTTTCTTCCTATATAATGGAACATCCCTTGCGCATTAGGGTTTTCTGTGCTGAAGTTCATGCTGGAATGTGGAGGAAGAATGGAGATGCTGCTCTTTTATCTTGTGAATGGTATCGGTCTGTTCGCTGGTTAGTATACTGTTCTATATGGCTATTAATTTTATCCAAGGATTTTTAGTCGTTACAGTGTTATGTTAATCCTCTTTATTCCCTCGGCTAGTTTGTCCTGGTCTTTACTACGGTTCATTACCTCTGCAGGTCTGAACAAGGGCTGGAGCTTGATCTATTTCTTCTTCAGTGTTGTGCTGCACTCTCTCCGCCAGATCTGTATGTCAGCAGAATTTTGGAGCGCTTTGGACT